AAGCTTGAGGAGAAGCTAAAGACCAAGAAGCAGCAGCCGAAGGAGCGGCTGTACCCTCTGCGCAAGTTCGCTGTCAAGGATTCAGCGGCGTCACAATAAAACTCAAATTCTGGAAAAAAAAAAAAATTGCCTAGCATGTGCACAGGCCTGGTTTCCATCTCCAGCACCATGAGGAATTAAACAGATATAATAAAGTACACAGGAGGACAGAACTATAAAGGCTATGTGCAAATATTGCATCATTTTCCGCAAGGAGCTCATGCATCTGAGTTTGGTACCCTCTGGGTTCCTAGGGCCTACCTAAGATGGATGATGGTTTTCCTGTTTATTTCCTTTGTACTGATTGTATTTTTTTTTTTTTTTCTGTTTGTATTTTAAACTCATCCCAAAGTGAAGGGAATACAAGCCAGGTTTGGGAACAGTTAACACCTTAACATCTGTGGTTCATGTGCAAAGGCACCAAACCCCAGCCCAACCCGCCATTAGAGCTACAGAACAATCCTCACATCCTTTTCTGTCACCTATAACTACACAAGCCCAAGGGCACCAGAACTCAGGAAAGAACAATGAGGGAGGCAAAATCAGCAGCCCTTGAGATAGTGAACTCCGACCTGAGTGGGGTGCCCACCCTCAGTGATGGTTCTTGAGACAGTGTCCCTGAGCTTTGACTGAGCCAAGGCTCAGATGTGGTGGCCAGGCTGGCTCAGGGCTGTCTCCACGGTGCCTGGCTGCCCAGTAAAGGAGTGGAGACTGTGTCTAGCCCTTGGGAAACCCGAGTGCCTCATCCAGAGTCCACGCCTCTGCCAGCCCTGCAGCTCCGCCTCCACCTGGTGCCTTCCACTGGGGCCATTCCCGGCGCCTCTGGCCACCTCTGCCCTGTTCTGCTGTTGCTTCCCTCTACCTCTAAGGCCGGCTGGGGACAGGTTGGGGCCACCAGTCAGCTCCATGGACAGGGACCTGCCTTTGCTCACCTGCCAGCTTTGGAAAGAGAAGAAGAAAGGTCAGTGCTGATTTGCACTTGTGGGATCCTTTCCCCGCCCAAAGTTCCAATTCCAGCTTGGACTGACTTGAAGGGACCGGACATTTCCCCAGGTATGTGTGAATCCTTCACTTTGCTGGGGTGTGGGAGTGTGCGCGCCATTGCCTGCTGGTCTGGTGGGGAATTGTCCTTCGTGATCTCCTGGGCCCATTCTGACAGCTACAATTTATGATTCTACAACTATAATTTCATTTAGCCATTGAACAAGCATTTGTGCCAGGCAGCGCTATTGAATACAATCTGGGTCCTGCCCTGAAGGGTCCACAGTATAGATGGAGGAAACTGTCCCAGTGAGACTTCCTGGGGCACTTCGGGCTAAGCTGTGTATAAACATTAATACATTTAATATAGCTACATCTGTAGGAGGTAAATACATTACTGACCTCATTTTACAGATGAGAACAGCAAGGTCTAGCGGCTTCTTCTACCCACTATTCTGACCTGTCTGACCTGGAAAGAGACTACAGGATAACTCAGTTCATTTAGGAAGGGTGGAGAAGGAATGCAAGAGCTTTGGAGAGCCTTGGTCAGCTAGGACGGGGATGGACAAAGCCTCTGCTTGGCCGGCATCCCGAGGGTGGGAGGCACAAGAGGCTGGAGGGGTTATCTGGAAGTTGGTGGGCGAGGCTGGCTTCACTGGGGCCTCAGGGATCTCTGGGATCAGTGGAGATTTAAGTCCATGAAGGTCAGGTTCAGGGTCTCTCTCCCTCACTCTTGGCCTGAGTCTTGGGAACACAGCAGGGGCCCCTGAGGATTCCTGGCAGGGTCTCTGGATGCAGTTTATCCCTATGGGCCCTCCCAGGGTGAGGACTGACCCAGCCTGGGGTGGAGGGGCAGCATCTCACAGCCTAAGAGGAGGAAAAAGCCTGGGAAGCTATGTGTCCCACACACAGTGAAGTCTGGCCTGGGGCTGTCCCCCTCCTCACAGCCCTCAGCTCCCATCTCGCAGCTGTCCCCAGTCCAGGCAAAGGAGGACAAAAGCTGATTATTCCACTGGGGGCCATCCTGGGCCCCATGAATGGGGTATTGAAAGCCGCGTGTCCACATCCAGATATGTTTTCAGCCACTGCCTAAGCATGCTGTGTGCCAGGGTGGCGTGAAGCCAGGGAGATGGGGCCATGGGGTTGAGTGGGAGATCCTCCGGGAGGGGCATCTGGTCCCAAGCACCTCCCTCTTTATTTTATTTATTTTTTATTTTTAAAAAGAAACATTTGAAGAAAGTTTATTTATTGTGGTACCAGGGATCAAACTCGGGATCTTGTACTTGTTGGGCAGACATGATGCTGAGCTAGCTCCCCAAAGAGAAACATATCACCCTTGATAGACCTCAAACAGAAGCACCCTCCCACCACCTCCTGCTGTGGTGTCCAGCAAGGTGGCCAGAAGACACTTGGATGCCCCAAGTCTGAACAAGCCCTGGGAGCCAGGCTGGCCAACTCCGCCCCCAGCTATCTTTTCCATCTCTGCTTCTTCTCTACTCCTCATTATCTGGAGTCCTGAGAACTTCCTCAGCCTCTGAACCCTCTGCTATTTGTCCCCAACTGACCAATCTACCGTCTGCATACCTAGTGTCACATTCTTGTTGAAATCTGCAGGAAAGGGGACACACTGGGCTCTCAGGTGCTGGCTCCATGGCGTGGGTATTCGCTGAGCTCCACACTTAGGAATTATGTACTGTTTTGGATTTCATACCCAAATTCAAAAATTATTTTTTAGGGGGCCAGGGAGATGGCTCAGTGGAATAAGTGCTTCCTTGGCAAGTGCAAGGGCCTGAGTTCAATCCCCCATTCCGCAAAAAAAGAAATTATTTTTAAAAATCTTAGGCTCAGGTGTGGTGGAGCACATCTTGTAATTCCAGCCTTCTGGGAAGCTGAGGCAGGAGGAGGGCTATGAGTTCAAGGCCAGCCTGGGCTACACATCAAGATACTGTCTCAAAAACTCAAACATTTCCTTATCATTTTTTTATTTTGACTCACTTCTTCTGATTTAAATTCATTTTAAAGAGAAACTTCATATTATTCCAATAAATGTAAAACCAGAGTGCTTTGCCATAAATATAAAGCACTTCAAAAACAAAAATCCATGAAAATAAAATAAATGTGGGCAGGTGAGATAGCTCAGTGGACTTAAAGCACCTGCTTAGGCAAGCTTAGGCAAGTGCAGGGATGGCAGTTCAATCCCAGGCACCACATGCCAAGCCAGCTTTGCCCCTAGGAATTTTTGGTGTTGTTGTTCCTCACATGCCTTCAGGGCACGTTTGGAGCTTTGCCCCTAGGGCAGGCTGAACTGCCACAAAAATAAAAAAAAATAATAAAATAAACGTATATCTATAACCCCCTGAGACTAAGTGGGTCAGTTAGGTACCACTTGTGGCCCTGAGGATCAATGATCCTTAGGAGAGCTGGTGAGATAGCTTAGCAGGCTAAGTGCCTGCTTAGGCAAGTGCAGGGACTGGGGTTTGATCCCTGGCAGCACATGCCACGCCGGCCCCACCACCTCAGGTTCACTGAGCCTGTGACCGAGTTTGGGCGTGGTGGCTTGGGTCTGTAATCCCAGCACTGGGGAAGCTGAAAACAGGAGGATCACTATGAGTCCAAGCTGCGTAGTAAGACCCTGTACCAAATACATAAAAATACATTTTAAAAACCCCAAAACTCTGATCCTTTGGGAGTGTCACAGCTGAGCCCTGACCACCTTGCTTTCCTCAACTCCCACCCCCTGGTCTGCTTCCAGTCTATGGCTCTAGCCAAACCTGGTTAGTTCCTTCCACAACCCATCTTTCTCTCATCTCCCATCTGTCACTAGCACCCTTGCTTCCACTGGGAATGTCAAAGCCAAGTGGCAGTGATGTTTGCCCCCCAACACTGGTGCCTCCAGCTGACAGCACACACTGAAATCTTGAATTCCAGATGTTCCAGCTGTGACACTGCCCAACCTCTTGATGGAACCACCTGAAAGGCCACCTGCTGGCTGGCTGCACAAGGAAGCAGAGATTCGAATCAGAATCCTTGGGCCACAGCCTGATGAGATGAGCAGGGGGTGGAGACCTGAGGATGGGGGTGCTGCCCCTTCGCCCCTGCCCCCAGCCCTGTCCTTTCTCCTCCTCCTGCCTCTGGGTGAGTGTCCCAGCCAGCCTGTGCTGCTTTCTTTTCTCGGCTCTGTTTGCTGTCAAATTATGGTGGAAGATGGGTTACAAAGGAGCGGGATTCCAGGGCTCCCTGACACTGGCCTGGGGTTGGTGACATTAAGAATCTGAGTTTGGGAAATAGAGGACTCAGTACTGAAGGAGATAAGAGCTAAATGTAGCTTGAGTAGGCAGTCAGGGGACACTGGCAATAAGAAAGGCAGCTGGTGGAACTGATGGACTGGAACAGCCTGGAGACTATCCTAATTTAAGAAAAATGAAGATGGGTATGGTGTGGCACAAACCTGCAATCCCAGCACTGAAGGAGGCTGAGGCAGGAGAATGTCAAGTTCAAATCCCACCAAACCTGCAATCCCAGCACTGAAGGAGGCTGAGGCAGGAGAATGTCAAGTTCAAATCCTACCAGGGCAATTTAGCAAGAATCTGTCATAAAAATATAGAAAGGGCTAGAGATGTAGCTCAGTGATTGAAAAATTCTTAGTACCACCTCCCCACCCTCCCACCCCTGCAAAAATAAGTAGTATAAGGGGCCTGGGAGCCAGGCATAGTGGTGCACACCTGTAATCCCAGCACTGAGGGAGGCTGAGACAAGAGTCTCACTGGGAATTTGAGGCCAGCCTGGAACACAGAACAAGACCTTATCTCAAAATAAACAGAAAAATAGGGTCTGGGTGTAGCTTATGGTAGAGAACTTGCTGGTCAGAAGACACTACAAAGCTTTGATTGAGCCCAGGGCCTCTGTATAGAGCTACATCCCTGACTCTTTGAGAGAAGGTCTTGCTAACTCACTAAATTGTTTAATTGGTGACGCTCCGGCCTCAATCTCTCCAAGTTCTGGGATTACAGGTATGTGCCACTGAGCCCAGCTCTTGCAGATCTTTCTGGGGTGGCCTGTTGGGAGAGGATGGTGGGGTCAGGGAGGCTGACCTCAACAGGTCCAGAAGGCACTGGTGGACTCTGAAAGATAGGAGTCAGGGCAAGGGCAACAGCAAGGACCATGGAGGAGGGAGGCTGTGTTCCTAGGACCCAGCAGCCAGAGGACGGGTAGAGGGGCCCACACTCTTCCTCACTCCTTTCAGCCAGCGCCCTGCAGCCCACTCTGCTGCCCTTGCCAGGTAGGTGCCTGCCCCCTCCCTGTCCCTGCCCTGCACCCAGCTGCTTCTCTGGCAGCCAGCGACCCCAGGGAGTATGCAGCCCTCATAACTCCCAACATCTCCTTCCAAAGCACCACCGGTCTCCCCGTTTCACAGAAAGGACTGATCCCACAGCTCCCCAGGCTTCACAGCAAGGTGGGCATCCTGTGGGTTGGGCACAGGGACTCCTGGTTCCAGTTCAACCCTCTTTGCAGAGTTGAGGCTCGTGGGGGGCCCGAGCCGCTGCCGTGGGCGCCTAGAGGTCCTGCACGGTGGCTCCTGGGGCAGCGTCTGTGATGATGACTGGGATGTGGTGGACGCAAATGTGGTGTGTCGCCAGCTGGGCTGTGGCCTGGCACTGCCCGTGCCGAGACCCCTTGCCTTCGGCCAGGGCAGGGGCCCCATCCTGCTCGACAATGTGGAATGCGGCGGGCAGGAGGCGACGCTGAGCGAGTGTGGCAGCCGGGGCTGGGGCGTCCACAACTGCTTTCACTATGAGGACGTGGCTGTCCTTTGTGATGGTGAGCTGAGGCCCCAGACTTCTGGGGGGTGGGCAGATGGTGACAGGCAGCAGGGCTGTAGGGGCTTCCCAGTGTTGGGCTGTTCTGCACAAACTGAGGCTAAAAGCTGGACGGGCTACTGTTGGAGAAGAGGCTCTGATCGTTTTGGCTGGAGTCTCTGGGTACAGGCACCTGCCTTGTGGGTTTGAGGATGGAGAAGAGAAAACCCCTGATTCTTTCTTTTCTCCTTGCTTCCTACCCAAGATTTCTTGCCCACCCAGCTCCCAACAAGGAAGATGTTAACTGGCAGGGCACCCCCTACAACTCCTCAGAATGGGAAAGGTAAGTAAGGGCCTTGGGGGATAACAACAGAGATTCCCTGGGTCTGAGGAGTCTCACACTTTTCTACGCCAGGCAGTGGGAAGACAAGGGTTACAAATTGAAGGCTAAGAGAGATTGAGCAATGTTGGGGGAGGGGTGGAGGTAATGGGAGAGTCACAGAATGATGGGTCTCCCAGCTTCATGGCCACACACACCTAACCCCAGCACTATGGGAGGCTGAGGCAAGAGGAGGGTTGTTCAACTGAGCGCGTGCAATTTAGTGACACTGTGTCAATAGTAAAGAGCTGTGGATATAGCTGGAGGTTAAGGCACTTATTTAGCACAGGGCTCCAGGTTCAAAGCTCGGCGCGGGAGGCAGCAGAGGGTCAGATCAGGCAGGGCTGCATGGAAGAAGAGGTGGCGGCTGCATCTTACAAAGTGAGATTTTCTTTGGGTAGTAGTAAAAAATGAAACAGCTCTTCTAGGAAAGCAGGAACAAGGGAAGTAAGGAGTGCTTTGGGGGGTTGTTTTTGACTTTGTCTTTTTGAGTCAGGGTCTTCATATGCAGTTCAGGCTGGCCTTGAGCTCACTTCGTTGCCCAGGTTGTTCTCTCTCTTTTTTAATAAATAAAGTTTTATTGGTAGAGGTACACTGATTTTTTTCAGCATTTTTTTTATTGAGAAATAAATATGAATGAGACAGTTTCAAAGCTGATTAATAGGGCAGTTTCGATAATCAATACATTGTACATTGCCGGGTTGTTCTCCAAGGAGCTCACAGGGATCCTCCTTTCTTAACTTCCCAAGTGCTGAGATTACCAGCATGCGCCACCACGCCCTGCTTATTTTTGGCTTTTTTGAGACAGGGTCTCACTGTACAGTTCAGGCTCACCTTGAACTCACTCTGCAGCCCAGGCTGATCTTGAACTCAAGGATCCTCCTGCCTCAGCCTCCTGAGTGCTAGGTTACAGGTGTACACCACCAAGCGTGGCTGTGAGGACTGGTTTTAGGCAAGGCTGCCCATCAGAGCTGGCTGTCTCGTAAGCCCACCAGCCACCCCTATCTAGGTCATGGGGACGCAGCACCCCAGGGTTTGGGACCTGAGGCATACGGCACTGTGGATGTGGGGCCCCCGTGGCAGCAGAGTCCTTCGGGACATACTCCCCATCCCGCCCTTTCACAGGTGAGGGCAGCGTGCGCCTGGTGGGGGGCGCGGGCCCGTGTCAGGGCCGAGTGGAGATCCTGCACGGCGGCCTGTGGGGCACGGTGTGTGACGACGACTGGGGTCTGCCGGATGCCACCGTAGTCTGCCGTCAGCTGGGCTGTGGGCCGGCCTTGGCCGCCACCACCAACGCCTTCTTCGGCTATGGCAGAGGACACATCCTGCTGGACAATGTGCACTGTGAAGGCAAGGAGCCCCGCCTAGCAGCTTGTCTGAGCCTCGGCTGGGGCGTGCACAACTGCGGCCACCACGAGGACGCGGGTGCGCTCTGCGCAGGTGCGGACCAGAGACTTGGCCATTGGTGGGGTGGGACAATGGGCGGGGCCGGGCCCAGAGGAAGCTGCTTGCTGTGTGGCCTCCGAACTGGCCTCCTTGATGATTACCAGAACTCTCCAGGAAGGCTCCAAAATGCCTTACACTATCTCAGCAGTGCTCTAAAAGGCGCCTCCCAATATCCCAGTACTGCTCGTGACACACTGCGCAGCTGTTACAATACAGCACCATCACTCCACTAAGAACGCTTCCACAACTGTCTAGCAATTTCCAAGAATTCTTTTCGGAATACTTTAGAAAAAGTAACAAGACTCTTGAATTGCTCCAGAGTAACTTCTGAGTCACCTAGTACATACTAATATTCCCTTCCTTACTTGGACTTTCTCCAGTTTGGGAAGTGTTCTCAGTAAAGGAAAATACTAGGGTCAATAAAGCCATTTCATAGAGGACTCCATTTTATAAGACGGAGAGCATCTTAGCAAGCCAAGATCTCATCTCCATGTATGGGTAGGAAAGTTGAGGCCCAGAGAGGCAAAGCCTTATCCATCCCTGCACCCTAGCCTGGCAGAGCCACAGGCTGACTTGCTGTGGGCCTTGAGCATCCCCTTGACCTCCCTAGCCCTATTTTATCTGGAAGATGGGGATGAATCCACTTTGCAAGCCCCTCAGGACAGGCTTGGCCCTCCTTGGTGGGTAAGGCATGTCCATGTCCTGAGCATGCTGGGCTTTTGTAAACACTGGGCGCTAGGGGAAATGACGGCAGGTCTGTGAAAGGCCTTTGTAAAAGCCCCTGGGAAGTGTATAGTATACCTTTACAAGCACGTTACTACTTGGATCCCAGCTGGGGTCAAGGCCCAAGCCCAAAAGTAAAATCTCTTCTTTTGGAAAACCCTCCTCTGCCATGATCCTGACTAGGAAGCTGCACCTCAGCCTCTGACCCTGCTTTTTTCCTGCTCTAGTCCTAGGCCCCCCAACTCTCACAGCACTGCCACCCTTGGCCACAAGAGAGGATGGTTCCTGGCACACAGAGCCAGCAGGTGAAGAGCCTGCCTTCCAGGTTGGAATGGCAGAGGTGAGGTGGGTGGGCTGGGAACTGGAGGCTGTTCTGGATCCACAGGAAGGAAGCTCTAATGGGCCAAGGCTGTGACCAGATGGTAAAGAGGTGGGTGAGAGAACAGATGAGCAGATGGAACAAGGATGGGGCCCAGAGCTCTAAAAAGTTCAGGGGGATGGGAGGAGGTATTAAAGGATTTCCTCAAAGCGCTCAAGTCAAATTTGGGACTGATGCTGACAATGGGTCTCAAGAGGTCCCTGTGAGGGGGTTGAAATGAAAACTGAATCAAAGAAGTGTGGAGTTAGGGCTGGATCTATAACTGAGATTATATAGTAACAACCGGTGTGGTATTACGCACTGTAATCCCAGCACTGGAGAAACTGAGGTAGGAGGATCACTGCAAGTTTAAGGCCAGCCTGGGCTACACAGTGAGTTCAAGGCTGCCCTGAACTATGGAGTGAGACCCTATTTTTAAAAAAAGAGGTTAACAGTTGGGTGTGGTGGCATAAGACTAGTTGCAAGTACTTTGGGGGGCAAGGTGGAAGGATTGTTAAGTTTGAGCTGGTTTGAGTTTGGGTAAATTGTGATATAGACTCCAAAAAAGGGGAAGGGAAGGGGAGATTTAGCACAGTATGAAGGCCCTGGATTTGGTCCCCACTATCCAATCAATAGGAACAAATACCTGGAGTTAGGATTCTGTTCTTAAATTCCACATGACATGCCAGATAACTTGATTCGGAAGTGAAGGCTGGGAATACAGGTGGGGCTGTCTCAGTAGAGGTCACTCCCTTCTACAAGGACAAGGTGTAGATCTCCCTGTCCTCTTCAAAGGCTCCAGCTGCCTTCTTTTCTGCAGCTACAGGGGTTGGTGCTCAGCCCTCTGGGGAGACAACACTGCTCACCACAGCAGCCTGGGCCGCGGGGAAGAAAAGTAAGTGGCCGAGCCGGGGTCCGGCAGGGGTGGGTGGGGTGGGAGCGGGTGGGGCCCGAGCTCTGCCCAGGAGCCGGCTGCCCCAGCCCAACCCCTCTGGCCACGGGCCTGTGCGCCCCGCAGGCGGGCGGCTGCGGCTGGTGGGCGGCCCGGGCCCGTGCCGCGGCCGCGTGGAGGTGCTGTATGCCGGGGGCTGGGGCACCGTGTGCGACGATGACTGGGACTTCGCGGATGCGCGCGTGGCCTGCCGCGAGGCGGGATGCGGGCCAGCGCTGGGCGCCACGGGCCTCGGCCACTTCGGCTACGGCCGCGGCCCCGTACTGCTGGACAACGTGGGCTGTGCGGGTACCGAGGCCCGCTTGAGCGACTGTTTCCATCTGGGCTGGGGCCAGCACAACTGCGGTCATCACGAGGATGCGGGTGCACTCTGCGCAGGTAAGGCGACACGGAGGAGGCGGGGCGGGTACGTCAGCACGCACGTGGCGAGGGTGTAGGCGGGGCCGCGTGTACGTATACTGCGGCGCGGTCTGCGTGAGGGCTCTGCGCACTGCAGCCGCAGCTGTCCGCAGAGCTGAGCAGTGTGACCGCCCGCGTGCTCTGCGGCTGCGCGGCGCTGGGGCGGGGCCGACAGGGCGTGTCCTCCGCAGTGGGAGAGTGGGGCGGTTGAGTGTGCAGGTGGAGGGCAGTGTGGCCAGGCCTGGAGCCTGCGAGGGACGGAGCCGCGTGGTACCTGCTGAGTCAAAGACCTGCAGATCGCTAGTAGAAGGGTACCAGGGAGAATTACTCTGTCTTTACTGGGCTAGCCTGTGACTTAAAGGAGGAGGTGACGTTAAGAGGGTGTTTGCAGAGTCAGCAATAAAGTGCTTCGGTTCACTGATTGCTACTGAAAGTGCTATGTCCATCTTCATCTATTGCCCAGGCTTCGTGGGGATGAGAGTAGGTGACCTGGCCCTAAGGAATAACTTCCTCAGTGTAACCAGAATCTTTTTTTCTGTTTTTCCTGAGTAAGGCCCAGAGGAACTGGGATTGCAAGTCCAGCAGGATGGTTCTGAGACCACCCGGGTGCCCACTCCTCGACCCAGGGATGGTAGGTACCCATAGCTGGCTGAAAGTGAGGTGGAGACAACAGGAGTGACAGACTTGCATTGAGGAAGGTCACAGCCTGGGTTACATCAGCTCAACAGATTGGCATCAGGTCCTGGAACCTTGGCCTTCATGCTGGTTTCAGGCTTCCTCATACACAGAAGTAGGGTATCTGGAAAGAGGAGCTTAATTTTAAACTATTGCAATCTTGAACTTTCTAGAATTGGGCATGGGAAACTTATTCTAGGGAAGGAACAAGACTGCAGAATTTAGACCAGGGATTCAAGGCCTTGAGTGAGGGGAGACTGTGATAACGTTGGGAAGACAATAGGACATAATCAGTCTCCAAAGAACTGGCCTGGGGCTGAAGTACAGAGATTATGGGAAAAACAGTAGAGAGAGCAGAATAAAGAACCCAGCTCCTGGCCCACTCAGCACCTTTGCACACTTTCTTCTAGCCCAATTTCTTTCTTTGTTTCTTTTTTTTTTTTTTAACATTTATTTATTTTGTGTGTGTGGCCAACTCAGCCCACCAGGGGGCGGGGCTGGCTGGCATGTGGTGCTGGGGAATTGAACTGCAGTCCCTGTGCTTTGCTTAGCTTAGCTTGTTCTAAGTAGGTGCTTTAGACCACTGAGCCATCTCACCAGCCCATCTAGCCCAATTTCTGAGTGGAACTGCTGCCCCCTTTATTTTTATTTAGTTAGTTTTTTTGAGACAGGATCTCTCAGTGTAGTTCAGGCTGGCCTTGAACTCACTATGTGGCTGGGGCTGGCCTTGAACTCACTGATTCTCCTGCCTCTGTCTACTGAATGCTGGGGTCACAGATGTTCAACATCATCCCCAGCTGCAGTTGCCCATCCTAATTTAATCTTATTTATCTGAACTCTTGGAGGCCCTCAGAACAATGCTGTACGTCCCAGTGCTACCCTTCACCTCCTCTAGCCTAGCAAGGAGGTGGCCTTTTCTAACCCCAAGCTTGATCCCACACACAGGGCACCTGCGTCTGGTCAGTGGAACCCACCGATGCGAGGGCCGTGTGGAGCTCTTCCTAGGGCAGCGGTGGGGCACCATTTGTGATGATGCCTGGGACCTGCGAGCAGCCAGTGTCCTGTGCCGCCAGCTGGGCTGTGGCCAGGCCCTGGCAGCCCCTGGTGAGGCCCACTTCGGCCCAGGCCGAGGCCCCATCCTCCTGGATAACGTCAAATGCCGTGGGGATGAGAGCACCTTGCTGCTCTGCTCTCATATCCGCTGGGATGCTCACAACTGTGACCACAGTGAGGATGCCAATGTCCTGTGCCAGTTGTCATGACCAAGCTGGCTCTGCAGACCACCTCTTCAGGGAGCCAAGTGTCACCTGGTCCTCCTCCTCCAGGAAGCTGACCTCTTCCAGGAGGGCCTCCTCCTGTGACTTGCAGTTCAAGCAGCCTCTCCTCCCCTATGTCTTAGGAGAGAGGCTGCCCAGGCAGGGTGGTCCTGCATGGGGACCTTTACCCCATCAACTTTATTATGTGACCTCAGCCTTTTATCAGCTATTGTGGGCTCCATATACGACATGCTCATACAGCCAAGATGGAAAACGGGGAGGTGGGAGGGGTTGATTCTCAACTCTTCTCTTCCCAAGAGCTCCTATTCCAGCCGTCCTGACCCTCCCTGCCTGGATCCTGATCCAGGCCACTCAGCAGCTCTCTGTAAATGGAGTTCTCCCCTTTCCCTCACCTATCTTAGGAGTCACACAAAGAGGAAGGCAAGAGGGACCTCAGCCCTTTCCTTAGACTCAGGGGCTGCAGAAGAACCTGGGTCATCACCCTGCCCCTCTCCATGAGGGCCTGGACTCAGATGGTGCTCGGCTGGACAAAGGGGCTGGAGGGGCCAAAGAAGGGACAGAGGTCCCTCCCTGCAGCTAGAACCAGCATCTGATTTATGCTCCCCCACCACAGAGCCTCCACTTTGCAATGGCAAAGAAGCCTGGGGCCTGTAGTCACCCGTTCATAGGTGCCAAGTCAATAAAGCATTGTCCCCATCTTTTCACCAAGCTCACTATTTCAGCAGCAGTGCATTATTTGTGGCAGGAGTCTCTGGAGGAAACCAGTGCGGAGATGGAGGGCAGCAGCCCAAAAGCATCCTCCAGCAAGAGCATCCTCCGGCAAGAGCATCCTCCGGGAGCTCTCATAGGCCCGTCACGTCCTGGAAACGCTGACTCACGGTGGCAGGTCTCCAGGACCCGGAGGATCCCCTGGACCAGCTCCTCCTGTCTTTTACATATGTAGGCACTGAGATCCAGCAATAAAAGGAAGGGGTTTGTTCAAGGTTGCCTATCAAGGTACTGGAGCCACTAGAAGAGACCAAATTCTTGAGAGGATGCTGAAAGGGAGATAGGAAGCAAAGCAGGTTGTGGCGATGGGGGTGGGGCCCTGCCACAGCTGCTCTCTTGGCTCCAGGCTGGATGACTTGCCAATGTCAGCTGTGCTGCCAGGTGTCAAACCCCTGCCTTTCAGGTCCCACCTGCAGGTTCTTTCTGCTGGAACAAATGACCACAAATGAAGTGTCTTAAGGCACACAAATTTACTGTCTTACAGTTCTCACAGTCACAGTTTGACATGGGTCTCTCTGGGCTGAATTTAA